ATTGCTAAAGGAAGGATTTATGACAATGAATGAACTGGTAAGTAACAATATCAATTAAAAATATTGAATGAGGTCTCAGAAACTTCAATTAGATTTGTGTTACTTTCATTAGACAACTTGACAACTTTTCAGAAATGGCAGAATCAGAACAACAGAATTGATGTGGAACTAATGTTTCCATCAGTGTGAATGTTATAGATTTACTTGCTTTGAAAGTGGTAATTAATTACTTTTTCTTGCCCGTCTCTATAGATTATACAATAAAAGAGAAGGAATTGCAGTTAATTTTGATGCTACTGAAGTAATATATACTTCTGATGTCTTCACTTTGCAACATTATGGAGTTAATTTTGAATTTTCGGGGAAGAGGCAACTGGAAATTAATTTGGAAAGGACTGAAACAACAGGTTGTCTGCAGTGGTTTTCCTCTTGGATTTGGCTTGCCCATTAAACTTCAACAACAAAATACTCCTTCCTGCAGTTAATTAAGGTGAGAATGCATTACATCATATTAGTTGCTCTCTATGTCTTACTAATAACCAATTATCTTTTGTTTAGTATAAATTGAGGTTAACGTGTATCTACGGTATTTCATTTTTTTTTTTTTTAATATCTGTTGAGAGTATTAATTGACGTATTATCGTGCATCTATGATTATCCATATTTATGTCATGATCTATGGTCATGGTGTAAAATGACGTTTGTCGCCTTTTTATTATGACTCCACAATTTTACTTGCTTTTTGGTGCTTATTTTTAGGTGTGTTTAATTCTTTCCTTACTTAATATTGTAATTAATATATTTTTTTGTCCATCTCTGCAGATTATCGAACAAATGAGTTCAGTTTAGCTGTACTGAAACGGCCATGTCTACATGGGTGTTGTCTTTTCTGGACTTAGTCTTGATTTGCTATTTTTGTCTTCACCTCGCAACGTATGCAGTTAATTTTCAACCGATAAGTGGAAGCAACTGGAAACTTATTTGAACAACAGACTTTCTGCCGTGGTATTCTGGATTTGGTTTGCTTTTTACACCTGCAAACATTGAGAGGTTGCAGTCTACAGTTAATTAAGGTGAGAAACTTGATAATAGTTAATTTTAATTGCTCTTTA